ATGTACACGTGAATGTAATGAAGAAACATAAATCTATGACGTGAATTCGATATAGTGGACTACATAATTAAAATATTTGTTCACCATGTGTGCGTTTCTAATTTAACTATTCATTGAAATGTTAATAGTGTATGCATATATATATATATATATATGTGACCCGGAATCTGTTTAGTGGCCAATATGCATGTACATTCTGCTTTGACAAGTTGCATATGATCTGTGACCAATATATAGTGGTTTGTGACTAGAGTTCACTAAGTTGTGTCAAGTTGTATAAGATCTGAGACCAAAATACAGTGATATGTGACTAATAGTGTATGCATACATATATGACCTGAAATCTGTTTGTGTGAAAATAGATCTTTCAATTATGAGTGAATGGGATAATCTGTGACCTAAAATCTAATATTCTGACCAGTTGCAATAAACTGTGACACCTATATATATTAGAACATGCAATATAAGTTTCGACTTTTGAGAAAAAAATAGTGATAGTAGTGTATTGTCGTACATTACGCTAAAGGAAATGGATCGTGGCCGTTCGAAATACCTGTTAAGTATGAATGTAACAGCAGCAGAAATTGAGCAACAGAGTATTACAGTTCCAGTTGATGTAAAAAGTAATGGAGAGTTATTTTCATTACAGGATCTAGCATCAGACATTTGCAATGCAGCAATTGAACCAGCAGGTCACATATTTGAACAAGAAGTCACAGTTGTGAAAATCACCGATGCCAGAAAGGTGGAAGAAGGAAAGATCTTTCGTGATAAAGAAATTCTAAAATTGAGACTTTCTTTTTTCGCAATAAAGAATATGTTTGAGTTTATGGTTTTTTGGTCGGACATGAAGAAATATATTGTCAGGTGTGTGCATGATGAGTGTACGTTGTGGAGGATGTGGTCACAACCAGAGAAGATGCTGTAATATGGTTCCATTAAGCCAAAATTAAGTAAGGACAAAAACCAAAGAACAACAACTCAGATGATGACACAGTTAGGCAGCAAACAAATCATTTTTTTTATAACATTTAACACTTCATAAAGTGGTTGCACGTCTCGATTGGTATATCATTTTACAATAAATGAAATATTCATTGATGTAATTGTGGTACAAATGAATACCATGTGACTTTTGAAGCAGAATCTGTGATTTGATATTATGATGTGTGACCAACATAGTAGAATTTGTCCAGTGAAGGGTTAACTATGTACCATATCAATTGTGACCATCAGATTAATATCTGTGACCAACATATACATATCTGTGACCCATGTACATTAAGTATGTGAATGCTGCATGGACAAATATGGTGCATAACATGTAATCTAAAAAAGTTAGCAAATGTGAGCTAATAACCTAAATATGTGACAATATATTATAGTTTGTGTCTTCTGCAAATGAACCGCGCAAATGGTTCTGAAACCTTTGTATGTATATGTGACATTCTGAAAACAGTATGTGATCTATTACCTTTAACTTGAGCAGACTAATTAAGTATTTGTGACCTGTGACATTGATTAATAACCTGTTCTATTACTTGTGACATGTGTCGAGTGAAATTATTTTGATCTGTGACTTGAATACAATCATATATGAGTAATAAACTATAATCTATGACCAGGTAATATACATTCTTTTATTTGACACAAACCATTTACATTTCACAAATTATTAATGAAATAGAACACAACACTCTCAAACATCTCAAGTCCTGTGACCAAACATAAAATACGAAACCTACTAAAAAATGACACCAGAATTGATGAAATGCAAAAAACCGAACAATTTTCCAATGTGTCAATGTACAACCACAGTATAACAATAATTCCAACGAGTGTTATCACACAAACTACTATAAACGAAAATAGAAAAGAGGCCAATATTCAGACCCTTTACAAAGTCCTATCATCACCCTATATTTTAAATACATTATCAATCCTCACTCAATGATAATCCCTTCTCCCTTTGTATGCTTCCCTGCCTTTGTAGGCTTGAATATCCCCTGATGTTTATATAACCAGGACGCTATGTGTAGCCTTGTTCTCAAGGCATCAAATTTCTTCGGCATAGAATCTTTGTCATCGTGGAGCAAGTATTCAGCATATGTAATCATGAATATGTCGCAATCATGTTTGAACATAAGCATAACCTAATTTATTAGGTACGATACTTTTAACATGAATCATGTCACATATTAAGAAATTATAACAAGTTAGGCCACAATCATATAGAGTCTTAGACACATAGGAACAATAGGTCGCATGTACATATAATCGTATATAAATCATGCATTTAATGTCACATATACAGAGAATGGAACGCAATCCATTAACAAATCCATAAACGTCACTTTCAAGTGGCAATATTAGATTAAATTAGGAAATAGACATATAGATTCTCAGACAACTATGTAAATGAAGTCACATATAAATATAATCGAATATCTATCACGCAATAAGGTCACAGATGCAACATCATGCTATTGAGGCAGGTCACAAATCCATAGTATATTGATCACATTTGGATTGTCATGTCACATACGGTCTACTGTAAATCATTGTACAATTCAGAACATATCTTTCACATAAAAACCCCCCACATATTTCCTTTGACTGTAATATTTAACCGAATAAATGTCAGGGATAAATAATAAAGAACGGTAAAATTGAAAATATCACCTTAGCGGACTGTTTTTTACTCGACCCATACGATTTATTCCTTTTTGATGGCATATACTTGGAACTATCCTCTGGCTTTCTTTTGTTTCTTCTGTCTGGCATCTCCACCGTATTCTTCGCCTTCATCTCACCCTTCAATTTACCGATTACCTTTCGATTTCGAAAGTTGGAAAAGTTTTGGAAGTTGAGCAAGGAAATAATGGAGATTGTGTTTGAAAAGAATTGGGAGGGGGGAGGGGTTCCAATAATAGAAGAAGTTACAATAATCCCGTATATGAATGCTAATTTCACGGGATACGTGCATCATTTAATTAAAAGATTTTAATATTTAATTATAATGTTTAAAACTTGAAAACTGCACAAGTAAACTTCAGCCCTAGAATATGAAAAGTGATCTTTAAGTACCTGTGGTCGCGTAATTTCCACATTCAAGAAATGGCCAACACTCATTGATTTGGTGGGTTGACAAAATTGGTCAAATATGAAGGCGAGCTATATGCATAATGTAAGTCGAACGAAAATTACACTAAACTAGTTTTGGGAGATTTAAAACTACTAAAATCAGTACATAATAATAATAATAATAATAATAATAATAATAATAATAATAATAATAATAATAATAATAATAATAGCACGCACTGATTTTTCCGACCTCTCATAAACGAAACCATCTAAAATCATTCAAAATCGATGAAAAAAGTCCCATGCAGTCAATTATGGTCAATGTTTATAGAACTTATACATCTGATCACATATATGTACACGTGAATGTAATGAAGAAACATAAATCTATGACGTGTTTAAAATCATAATTTATTGAGCCGTAATAAAAGTCAAAGAGTCACGGATTGACAATATAGTTTTTGAAGGAGTCAACCACTTGAGAGCGGTTTTAGCAACATATTAACCGCTTGCTAGCATTGCGTCTAGTGCTTGAGTGATCGTGCCATCACTCGATAAACTCAAAGCTAGCGCTCGTGTGATAGTGCTATTCGGTGAAACCCTAGTCCGCGATTTTATGACTTTTCATAGTCTCATACAACCTCAAACACTTCGTACTATATATACTGTAGCCATAATTCGTCCCAAATATCTTTGAATGGTTGATTGATCATTATTTGATACAATAGAACATTCAATAAAGATCAAGCATTAATTCCATAAATCTCTTGCTTCAACTAAAAGATCAAAAACAAAAAAATCATTACCTTCACCAAAAAGTCTTCAAAGTTCTGATGTTGGGAAGAGATAGTTGGAGTTTTGGTTGTTTCAAAATGAATTCGTTCTTGGCCATGTGGAGGGAAAATAAGTTTAAAATTGTTGAAAAGTAAATGTTGCACAATCAAAGAGGTTCTTTGGTGATTTATATGTTAGGTGGTTAGAGCATACTAAAATTTTAGTTGTGTCTAGATCAATTCTAAGTTATCTTTTCTGGTGGATCTTTTTATCAAAGTTTACCCGGAGGTTTTTGTCCACTGTGAATAGTTTTCAGGGAATTTTTCTTCGTTACCAAATTTTTTGTTATTTATTAACCTTTAGATGTTGTTGGGTTTAAACATTCCATTGATTATAGCTATATTATTAATTATTATATATTAGTATATTGTTGTACTTTTTTTTTCTTTTTCAAAAAGCTAATAAAAATATAAGTGTTGAGGTTGTCCTATATTGGTTGTGGATGAGGTTGGCATTTAGTTTGTAAGCATAAGGGAAAACCTCACCTTTCAAACTAGCCTTTGGGGGATGAGATGAGTCCAATACTTCTCAACAATAAGTCAAAATAATAGTTAATTTTAACTATATATTTCATGTTATTAGTTTTACAATAAAGATTTTTATTTGTATAGAAAACTGTTCCACAGAGCCAAAAATCTCGCACATGTTAGACTTATGTTGTAAAAAAAATCCCCCCACCCACCCCTTGTTGTGTTTGTTCTATATGGTTTCTGTGTGTGCAATGTCTGTACACACAACAAGCTTATTTTACAATCATACATTTTATTAAAATCTAAAAATATTATTTTTAACTAAACTAAACAAGAACTAAATATGAACAAACACAGCCCTCGTTTCGCCCCCATTCGTTCTCATCAAATTAAATTAAGTTTTTTCTTCTATTTTTAATGACACAATTTTTAATAAAATAATATTATATATAAATCAAAATTTTTTTATTCTTTTATAATCATTCATTTTAAAAGAAAATACTATTCGTTCGTTATAATCAAAATTAATTGAACCAAACGTGGGCATAAAACGAAAACGATAAGTGCAAGTTGGGTGAAGTCCGAGGAAAATTTGTGGTGTTTTTGTCCCGTCACTCAATAACCACTCCCTGCTGACGGCACAGTTATGCAAATGCACAAACTCAATAATTAATATCTTCCCTTTCCCCGTTTCGCGAGGTATATATACTACGGGTTCATCGTCAATATCCGATCCAAAGAAACCTAAAAGCATGCCGACTTCGAATCGGATTTTGAATCTTTTCGTTATCGTTTTCGTTTTCATCGCCAAGCTCCATTCAATCAGCTGCAGCGCAATTTTTTCTTCAAACCCGTATGCCCAGCAGCAGCTTGATAGAATCTCGAAGCTTCCAGGCCAGAATTTCAACGTGAGCTTTGCACATTATGCTGGCTATGTTACAGTCAATAATGAATCTGGGAGAGCATTATTTTACTGGTTCTTTGAGGCCGATGAGGACCCGTCTTCCAAGCCTATTGTTCTTTGGCTGAATGGAGGTCAATTTATTCTGAACCTCTCTTTTGTGTCTTCTCGTTTAAAACTTTGAAGTTTAGTTTGTTAATGAAACCTTCAGACAAGTGCAATTTTATTTTTATTTTTTTTAGAATTTGTTATGATATTGGGAGGTATGTGAGGCAGACGAAATTGTGATATATCTCAGCTATAAGAGAATCCTTTTGTGCCCTCTGGGCCAATAGATTATTTGCAATATCCAAAAAGTTCTTAGCATTAGCAAATAATTTATTTCAAGATATATGGTGATAATTCTTCCCTTTCTTGATTATAAACTTTAGAAAGTTGTATACACATTTTTTATTATGTTGGACTTGTATGTCATTGATTCTCCTCGAAACATGTCATTAAGTATCAGAAAACATGGTGATTATTAAAAATTCTATCTTGGATTTACTGTTTCTTTTTCACTTTTTAGTTTAGTTATTGAATTTGAGGCTGTAAAGTTCAATTCATTTATGTTCTTAACATGGTACTTTATCGTGGTGTGATGTAATTCATAGCCAGGGTGGAAATCTTTTTCTGATCCATTTTATGTTCAGGGCCTGGATGTTCATCTATTGCGTATGGATTAGCTGAGGAAATTGGACCTTTCCATATTGAGGAAGATGGGAAGACCCTATATTTGAATCCTTATTCTTGGACTAAAGGTATATTTTTGTGTGCCGTCCTTTAGAAAAGAAATGAATTGAATTTGTATCTAAATTGCCTTGCAAAAGAAATTCAAAATTTTAAATCCAATGAAAAGAACAAAAGTTTAAAAGACTAGTTCATCAAGTTCAATTCTTGTCTTGAAAATAGAAAGGTTCCTATGTTCTTGAAAGCACACCTTTTAGTAGGTAACATTTAGGCTGCATAGCTATCATCTTTTTTTACATCTTTAGGTGGATTCTACAACTATCAATGCCATTACTTTAAATTTTTATAAAAATCAAATGTTGTGCTTACCTGCAAACATAGAAATGAGCTCTTGTGTGACTGTTTAGTACATATATTACAGTATCATACGCTCATAATTTTCAACTAGCTCATATTAGCAATATTTGAGTTAAAAATATATATTTCCGACACACATTTACCCCTCAATAGGAACACTTCGTTGTTTTTACATTCTTGTCTCCTTGTTTTCTAGTTTTCTTCTTTTCACTTTACTTTTTAGCAATACTTTGCGCGTGATCTTTATAACTTCCCGTGCTTCTGGAAATGATGGATTAGAGAATTGCTAGAATTTTCTATTAGGAGTCTGCTGGAAGTCAATCTAAAATACTTAAATTCAAAGTGGCACTTCTATAAAATTTCATATAGGAATTGCCTAATTCTTTTCTCATATTGCAGCTGCAAATGTATTGTTTCTTGACTCTCCAGTTGGAGTTGGTTTTTCATATTCAAACATCACCAATGATCAACTGAACAATGGTGATAAACGGACGGGTAATGGTGTCTTTTCTATAGCCCATCTTGATTTTTCTTTTATTTTTTATTTTGTTTTGGTATGTACAGAAGATTGATTTCAATCTCTTGGAATGCAGCTGCCGACAATCTAGAATTTTTATTGGAGTGGTTTAAACGTTTTCCACAGTATAAAGGAAGGGACTTCTACATCACAGGAGAAAGTTATGCAGGTGGGTGATGGTGAACTTTCTTAATAACCAAGGAAGAACTACCTTTTTGCAATTTATGACTGCTGGGTTTACTTATTGTAACTAGTTGCTGAGAAGAGAAAAAAAATTAAAAACTGAAACTATCACTTAACTTTGGTGGTCTTGTTACCATATGTCTGTTTTAAATTGTTGTCTATGCAATCTACAGGGCACTATGTACCACAATTAAGCCAAGCCATTGTGAGGCACAACCATAAAAATGGAGAAGTC